CCGTTTTTCTGCCGGAACAACTGCATTATTTGCTTTCCCCGCGCGCAAAGTCCAGTTTTCACGCAATTTTAATATCACCTGTATCGAACCAATTGGCAACGATGTTGCACGATTGTGTTTTCTTTCTCCCCGTGTTTTTCGCTTTTACTAAACAACGCCTATATTTCCCTTCGATAATAATTTAAATTATATCCTTTTATCCTCGCAACGCATTCTCCTATCATCCCTTCCTTTCGAGAGAATAAATCGACGTGGCGATTATTAACCAACTATCCGTGTAATCAAAAGTTTCGAAACATCTTGCGTCAGATGAGCGTTAAGAAGTTGGAGAGAAACGATTTGTTTAAAATCGAGCGATCCAATCAAACCTTTAACAAAATGGACGACTTAACGAAACGAAGAAGCGGAAGGGCTGGTTGTATTCCAGATATTAATTGATCTCGATAACGTTTATCTTTTTTCTTTTTTTTTTTTTCGAGGTCGCGGGATAAAAGTCGGTAAAAGCGTGGAAGATCCTCGAGAAATGTTTCGATATATCAAGCGTTAAGCCGCACTGTCAGACGCACTCGGATATTACCCTGGAATGGAGCTGATGGATATTAGGAGGCTCCTTCTCCGTCAACCACTTGATACCACCTATAATATCTGAACGTGAAAAATACACACAGGAGATATCTTTTATTGACGTTACACATTTCGTTACGTTTTTCGGAGATACAAATGGATCGATGGGAATAAATCAGAGCAGTCTCATCTTTTCTTTCTTTTTTTCCCCCCTTTTTCTCGTCTCCTTTTCTCCTTTTTCCTTTTCCTTTCCCGACCTCGTCATTACGATCGTCCTCATCATTTTCTTAATTTAGAGCTTGCCTTCCTTGCTTTCTCGAAAATTTCCGCCTCCTTCCATGCGAGCCTCGATGCATACACGGTAAAAAAAGTAAGCATCCGTGCAATTTTAACGCGGCTGATGGCGTTAGAGATACCCGGTCACTAAGAATGCTCGCATTTCCTTGCTGTGTGTGTGTGTATATATATATATACCAAGATGTGCGCCATCGTTATTATCAACGTAAATAAAAAACTCTGGAATCTTCGTACCAGTTTTTGTCAATGTATATATTTATTTGAATCCGTTTCGAATCCTTGGATGGAAGAATTTATTAAGAAATAATATTTTATCTAGATAGAATGTTCCTTTGGAAAAACGTATCTTTTATATTCGATTTTTAGGAACAATTTTTGGTATCAATCGTTATTTAATGCGGTTATTATTTAAGGATGAATTAATAAATAGATTTTCAATAACGAAAATCTTTTTCTTTTTAATCTTCCTCCTCGTTAAAATAATCAAAACGAGAGGATTTAAATTTGATACTTGTTAATATCTCTTGTTAACAAATTTTCGACATTGTAATTAAGATTAAAGTTACGCAACAAAGATTAAAACAACACTTTGAATTTTGAAACCTCAGATCTGTTGAATTAACATTTTATTCGATTAACATAAATTAACATAACGCAATGTATGCTCTGAATGACAACTATCTACAACGTAGATTTTAAATGGAGTATGTCTAATAGACTTGGAAAATCTCTTTGACATCGTGCAGATAAATGGATCAATCCTAAAAAATCCTCGTAAACTTTCTCGATTCCACTGATTGATAAATCGGTATTGCAATTATTATTATCATCGTTTCATCCAAAAACCTTAAATTGTTTCATCAAATTATGATGAAGCAAGCAAGAGAAAGATAAACTTTCTTTTCTCGATACATCGCTTTAAACAAGAGAGCACCGTTGGCGAAATTTATCCATTTGTCCTTGGCTCACTTTCCAAGATCTTCTTAATGAGATCTTATCCGCTGTACGTGTACAACAAGTTGGATGAAATTTTACCCGTGTCTGAAGAATTACTTCCCTCTGGAAAAGAAAAGAAAAAAAAAAAAAAAAAAAAAAAAAAAAAAAGAAGCAAAACCGATAATAATCAATGCCATCCGCGAAAAAACTTTTTCACTTCTCCTGTCGCATTACATTCGTATTTATTTAACCTTAACTCAGTAGATAAAAAGGGAGAATTTGGAACGTTCTTCGATCTAACGATTCCTCGAACGACAATCCTTCTTCCCAAGTGTAATTGCTTAACCCGTGCATGTAATAGTAAGGTCATGCCTCGGCCATCATCGATCAACCCCTTAAAATCGATCGAATCCGCTTCGAGGATCCAACTCGATTACCGACCGAGCTGTAATTCTCTTCCATTCGATTAGACAAAGTAGCTCGCGTGTATCTATAAAGGTCGAATCGTCGACTATTGATGGAACTCTCTCTCTCCCTCCCTCCTATTTCTTTCTCCTTCCTAGTTTCCGTCACGTTTCTCCAGCTGCCTACGCCAGCGCAGCGTTACGACCGCTTTGTCATCGTGTCCTCGCAGTTTCGCTCTTTAACTCCTCTCTTCCCCTATGTGTATAAAAAACTCTCGACTCCGTCCCCCTCTCTCCGTCGCGTGGTCCGCGCCACCATTTGGCCCACCGTTGCTCGCTCGGCTCAGCTATCTTTTTCTTTCTTTCTTTTTTTCTCTCTTTCTTTCCTTCTTTCTCGCGAAATCTTGCAACGAGGCGAGTCAACTCGAAGGTAAATTATCTCACCTCCGCCGAGAGGCAGACCTTGAGAAACGAAGAGTACCGCGAGTATTTCATGGAGGGGAATCGACTACGGAGTTTCTTCCCTAAGTTGAACGCCGACACCGCGATAAATTAAGAGGATTCTTTTTCTTTCTCTTTTTTCTTTTTTTTTTCTTTTTTTTTCTTTTTTTTTCTTGTGAGCGTTTCAATTCTCAAGGAGCAAGCGAGAACACTTAACTGTTCGTTACACGAGTATTTATTAGGTAAGGTTTACGGATTTGAAAACTTTGATAAGATTTTTTATTATGTATTCTTCTTCTTCTTCTTCTTCGTTTATTCCGTTTTTCTTGGAGAATATTTTTAAATTTTCTCTCGTGTTTTTGTTAAGATTTCAAGAATTCAAGCAATAAAAACTGTAAATACGAAAGAAGGTTTCTTTCATTTTTGACGAGGAAAATTCAGGTCACAAAGGGTTAACGATCCTTCCGTTGCCCGATACTTCCAACTTTATTGACCTATACATTTCTGCACGGTTGTTTTTTTTCTTTATTTTTTTTTTTTTTTTTTTTTTTTTTTTTTTTTTTTTTACGTTGCCGAGAAACTTCGGTTTATTACGTTTATTTCTTAATAAAAGTAACGAGTTAAAACGTAATTTGATCATAGCGGGTTTTATTTTACTTTNNNNAAAAAAAAAAAAATGGGATTTAAAAAAAATGGTGAACGATGGAACCAGTGAAACCGTATCTCGAAATTAAAAACCTGCTATTCCCCCTGAACTGAAAAGTTATTTTCATAGGTCTCTCAAAAAATGAATTTATATATGCATATATATATGTATATATATATATATATATATATATTGAAGATAAAGGAGAAATTTCCATCAATTTAAAAGAAAAAAAAAAAAGATAGAAACAATTACTTTATCCTAAAGAAAATTCGTTCAAGACACGACGATCTCGAATTGTTCGAGATATATGAGAAACTCATCGCGTATCACGTAAGACAGACGTCGTGATTCGGTTGAGGATAGGAATCTCTCAACTTCCGGTTCGCTTATTCCGCGGCGGAGAGGGAAACATACCTATAAGTTGTCGTTAACGAAAGGTATCCTGTTACAGTTGCCTGAATAGAGCGGATTTAATCAGAGTGCACGACGGTACGGATTCAGGGGCGGCCACAATAGCTATGCTGTGCAACCAAGGAGCGGAAGTGGAAGTGCTCAGCACAGGGTCGGACCTGTACGTCGAGTTCGTCGCTAATTCCGAGTGGCCGGGCCAGGGTTTCAAGGCGATGTTCCAATTCCAGCCATTCGACGATGCACCGCATCCTGGTGGGTAAACGAACGAACACCCGTTCCCGATATCGTGAAAGTCCGCCGTTACGCCAACTCCCCCCTCTCCTCTCCTCTCCTCTCTCCCCTCTCTCCACTCGCTCGAGTAACGAGAAATCTCAAGGAGGTGTGTCGAAAATGTACAATCGCGGAATCGCGGTCACCGCTCTTCTTAACCAGAAATTCATCATTTTTCATCCCTCGACTTCATCCCTCGGGGTTTAATCGAGCATCGGTTTACTCGCGTTTAAATTCCCTATCGTGTCCTCCACCTGTCGTCCAGGATTATTCGAGAAAGTTTCTCCAAAGTAATATCAAGTATGCTCGCGGTTTGATAAATGATTAGAGTGATAAATAGTGGGAGCTTCCTCTCTCGTCGATCAAGAAGAATATATAGCTATTTTGAATTGCGTTAAGTTGCACAAGTTTGTTATTCCATTTCTCTGGAACGGTATCGAAGGTGTTAATTCTTCCTGTTCTTTATAAATTTTCTTTCCAATAATTTATGATTTA